TCCAAATATAATTATGGTATATCGAAATTATCTAGATTAGTAAACCGAGAACCCTCGTCATCAAAAAAGCCTAACTCCCTACCCCTCTCCCGGCGTTACTTTTGAAAAATCATACTACCGGGGAACTTTGTCAGAAAAATACATCTGCCCCTCCCCTTTTTTCTGACAATCCTGGAACCGCCCCTGCTATATCAAACGGCTCTCAGTTATCGAAATTCTCTAGATTAGCCAAAGGAAGACCCTCGTCATTAACAGGTGTGAGGAGATACCACGTGAAGGTCATGACAGGATGCATAGCTCCACGAATTTCATCTCATCTCTGATCGGGAGGATAATCATCAGAGCTGAAACTAGTTGCCATAGAAACGATACAGATGATGCGTAAAGATGGGCATGATTAGGATGATGGGAGATAATATGAGAACTTGTTATAAGCGGTTACTCTTCATTTTACAACTCTACTAGTGCAATTCTGCAGAAGATTAATCGTCACAATCGTATATGATTTTTATAATTTTCACAAAATGTATGTTTCATTTCCGATGTTCTGAATATGCAAATAAACTGAGTTTTCAGTTTATGTTGCAGATCGTAATGGAGCACATAAACCTACACTGATTTTGAGGTAATCATTCGCCTGCATGGTTTTCTGATAATTTTTTATTCTAATTGACTATTACTTATGTGGTTAGGAAAGGAGTATATGACTTAATTCTTTAATCGCCCCAGCTGAACACCTGTTAAAACTATCTTCATCGCAGTAAGGTCTTTCTAATTATTGAATTACCGCCATTCTGGAACCATAATGCATGAATTAGTTTGAACCCTCAATGGATACCTTCATTACGCGTTCTTATTACTATTGCCTTGTATTATTAAACCTGTTGGATATCTTTAGTTTAAAAAAAGAAGTATTTTTCAAGTGGTATTGACTTTTACTGAAGCACAATTATTATGTGCGATTTAACCATTCTTTTTTCCCCCTTGTCTTTCAAGAGCCTAATTTACTGAGAAGTAATGATGAACTGGAAACTATCGTGCCCCCCTTCCTCGAAGAATTATTCTTTTACCACAACATGTTGTGTCATTGATGTATTATTTGAGGATGGTCGGCCTGACTTGTTTTGCCTTTGAATGGCAACTCATGCTCCCTCTCTGTTAAAATAACGATAGACTGAAGATGCTTATAATATTATAGTTCAGCAGTCCTTCGTAAATATTCTCTGCCTCCATTAGACAAAAGAAAGAGACGACTAGTCACTATGCGACAATCGAATTACCGGGGAGGTATTTTGGAAAGAGACGGAGTCTCGTCATGACGCTAAATAATTGATTCATCGGTATCCATGGTTTTTTCCTTCTTGTTGCTAGGGACATTCCGTTGCTCTGTAAAAGCAAAATGGTACAAATGCATTCCATTTCAACTTGTCTGACATGCACCGCACACTATATGCCGTCTGGCACATTGAGCATCGGTAGCCATTATTCCATCATCAGGTTAAAATCTTATAACATTACGCCATATTAATTATTATTATGTAGGATCAGCCTTTTCAAAGATGAGGGTATTCAACTATTTCTCACACTACAGTATAAACTGTAATACTTCGTTTTGTTATAATGAGTATCATTATAGCGAAACAATTTATATTAAAACAAAAATGTTGATACAAATATTATAGTATACATTTCTATTTTTTTCTACTTCCCTTGCAATGCACTGGACATTACAATCAGCCAGGAAGCACTTGCAAGCCGTTCATGTTCATTCATTTTTCTGAGCATTGAGAAGTTTATCATAATTGGAGATAGCTCCAATATATTCAAATGCGTGGCATATACTTTGTCCATTTGTGGAAGGGTCCATGCTTTGTCGATGCGGTATCCAGGGGCTAAAGAAGCCACACTGGTAATATGCAATCCTATCGCGAATGTATCCACGTCATTCCAAGGTTAAATTTGATAGGAAAATAGATGATGATGCATGGACATTTCCTTGTATGTTGAAGTCAATAAAATCCCGTTTACAAAAGTTTATCAAACACATTTTAGATGACTAGATGTGCATGAAAACATCCGTCTGTTTATCTTCAATTTCTCATTCAGACTGTTGTAAAATAATTGTCATGGCAACTCGGGAGGCTTTCCGAAGACACAATCATGGAATGAGAGCACAACATTGACTATACTTCTAAATATCGCGCGATTCCTTTACACAATAGATATAGGTTTTCACTGTACAAAAGTTTGTGATGTATTGCAAACGATTAGAATGTTAAACATTTTGATTTCCAGTTTCATTGATTCAAATTAGCTTTGTTTTAGAACAATATTGTATGACTTTGGTGTACTGTTCACGGAATCGAAGGGAATGACATTAGGGAAATGACTTACGGGGCGTTGCTCTGTAATGGCCAAAATGTTGTTAACAATCATAATTAAAAAATTTCCCAAAGGTATGACGACAAAATATACACTATTAGTCATCTTTCTTTTCAAATCTGAGCTTTTTTATCTGGAATTCTGCACATACTGTAAGAGGGGTAAGAGGACACTTTTCTTTTTTTTTTTTTTTTTTGGTCTCGAAATTTGAAAATTTGATATTTTGCTCCGTTGGGGGGGGGGGGGTAAGGTCAATTTTTTAAGGTCAGCCATTGGTATAATTTTTGTTGTTGTGTGTTTTAAATAAATATAAAAAAAATACCAAGGGGGGGTTAACCCCCCAAATCCCCCCCCCCCCCCCCTGCGTACGCGCCTGCACAGGGCCCGATGGGAGACCAACTTATTGTAGAATGGGCTACCTTGTTTTTCTTTTAAATGAATAAATAAAATAAATGCTGTGGAGGTATACAAAAGCAAATCTTCATTGGACAGATCTAACGTTACGTCAAGTACGATTGACTTTCAGTGACAGATTTGGCCCACTGTATATAGAATCGACTCAAATATAGGTCAGATTAGTAGTCACAATAATCAAGACCTGTATTTGGGATTTGTCTAAACACAGGAAGCAGAGGAAATATTTGAATGCGTCACTACACATAGATAGTATTGACTAACACACAAACAAAATGATGTCGTATACAGACAAGGATGCGTGTTAGGGAGGGATGGAAAAAGCTCTATACTTCCCCCTTCGTTGGGGATTTGTTTAGTTTGAAATCAAACTGAAATTAGATTTAAGTCAAAATAATCACAAAGATGGATTAAAATCATCGATTCTCATTGCAGAATATTAAATCCGTAAATTACCAACACCAGCTAGCACAGTGATCACGATCACAAAGATGTTCGAAAAATCACCTCAACCAACTTAAGTGCAATTTCAACACCGTTTGCTTTGCCTATAGGATCATGGTCAGGTTACCTATAATACGTAATTATAACGTTCGAACGTTTCAAATGCGCTGCAGGACTATTTTGGTGTTGTGCATGTTGGGATTTTACCTTAAAAAATGATAATCGAAATTGAAAACACGACCTCAAATATAGTTTACATCTATTTGATATATTCAGGCCATTTAAAAAATGTATGCATCATTTAATTGTCACCATATTCAATTATTGCCTTGCTAATTCGCAACATAATTATATGGATTCTAAAATTGATCGGAACTCCTATCTCTTAAGTACACAGTTGCGAAATCAATCGCTACTCTTTATAATATTATCATGATAATACAGGGCCAAGATGTACACATACGTGATTTGGGTCCCTTTAAAGCCCCACTGCACTACTTATACTTGCGTCCTCTATATAACAAACAATGCCTAATCGGTGCATGTTGGTCTCCCGTGATCCATTTTCCCTTTTGTAGTTGAGAGCTGATTTGATGAGATAACCACCTGTCAGTGACCTTGCAAGGAGGTCTAATCCCCCTGGCCAAACTAGTGCAAACGGGCTCATTATTTTGTTTAAGACAAATTACACTGGTTTAAACATTACACCTGACATAGAAACTCCCTTCCCTATATAATAGGATGAACGACTATGGTGTCATTTTGATGGTTATGACTACCCTCGATGGCAAGAAGCCCCCTAATCTGGCTAATGAGTACTTCCTTTGACATTGAGCCGGTATTACCGTGCCCTTAAAAAATATGAAATTTCGGGGTGACTCAGAAGTGACTGTACTCGTGTGTTTCATCCGCCATGTAGACTTGAGATACTTCGTATAATTTGGGACTAATCAAATAATCGACATAATGAAGCATTTATATTAAACACATATCGTAGATATGGAATTTGTTTCATCAAAGAGTGAAATTATTTGTAAGCCTACAAAACACTTTCATGAAAAACAGATATTTAAGAAAATGGCTGTCCCTTTTCGCAATTATAATCTAAGTAGGCCGAATTGATGATAAACAAATTGGATAAACTGAGAGTTTTTAAAGCATGTATCATGGATTATCGATATCATACCAACCACCCCGTTGTAAATTTCAATCAATTCTCGATTTCATTTTGAATTAATCTAAATGTAGGCTGACTCTCAGTACATTCATGTTCTAAGAAAGTTGCAGTTGAATCGTAAATTTCCAAATGTAGGCTACTTTTGAAACCCACTACTATATCGCAATACGCATGTAAATGCATGAAAGTATTTATTCTTTTATTTATGTCTAATCTTTTGTCAGGGTAGCCCATTCACCATTAAGTAGTGGTCTACCATGGGGCCCTGTATAGTCATGAGCATATTTATATTTATATTATAACGTTTATAACTTTATACAGAACAGTTAAAATAAAATTCTATAGTACATTTAGAAAAATATAACACAGCAATAATAGACGGGACACAAACGGATACTCATTTGCAAACTAATCATATATTAGTAACCTGCAAATAGGTAAATATTGATTAAGTCGCAATTAGGTATAATAATGCATGTAAGAGAACTAAAGAGCGCGATTTTATGTTTTAACATTTCTTGAAATTGTTTTATCAATGACATGGTCATTATTAATGCCATACTGAGCCTATCTTCCTACTCACCTCGACGTCCTTTTCGCAAAGACCGCATTCTGCAACCACCAGCTCGAGTGTGATATCGTCCCAGTTCTTTTCTTGCTTGAACTCCTGTTCAAGTACCTTCTCCTGCTGTGCCGTGATCGCCACACCCGACGGCGACGATGATGCCGGGGTTTCCTGAGTACCGCTTGAGCTCATCCTGGAGTTCTTTCGTTTAACTCCTTCACAAGTTACAGCGGTTGTAATACAGTGTTTGGTAGTCTGCCACTAGTTGATGTTGACTACTGCAACTGTAGAGTCCAGGGTATTTATTTCAAATTCACATTTACAGTACTTTGCAATATTTCCAATGCTGTGTTCTATTATGAACTGGGTACGAACAAAACTTCACCTTAATTCCACTCGTCAACAATGAAGTTCAACAGTTGAATTATTGAATATGCAAACATCTATGAACTCGCTTGATTTATATCCAGGTTACTCTTTCGCGCTCTTCTACAGATATAGCAAGTGTCAGTGTCGTCTGCTTTACGCTCTCAACTGAATGACTTGCGTGAAAGAGTCGCAACACGTTTAGCGTTGCGATGCCTTTAGCAAACACAGTAGTCGTGTGCAGCGAAGCTATAAAAAAAACGCCCACATACGACCAATGTATTGAAGGGTTGTTAAATAAAAGTCGCCTATTATATTATCAACGATAGTTGTATTTTATTTGCCTCCACTAGCGTTAAACAAATAAGACAACAGAAGTCAGTTTCCGTAGTCCCTTTCAATAGTAGGATACTCTGTGGCGTATCCACCTCTTGGCCCCATCAGGAGGGGGGAACAGCTTAAAAAAAAAAAACTATTTTGGGAGGGGCTAAAAGATATCTCTCACGTATATATGCTTTGATGAATTTCTTTACTTGCATATCTTAATCTTCTTGTAGTGGCAGGGAAATATTGCCATGGACTTAATCGTAGTGCATTTTATATGAATTTATGTAAAATCGTTTAATAGGCCTAGGCCTAATCCGATTTTTCGAATAATTTTATTTTTCTCGCATTTTTCGAATTTTCTTATTAATCCTTTTTTTAAATATAAATAATGCTTCTCCTTTCTATCGCTTAACAATGACTATGAGTGAGTGGCTTAGTGCATAGTGAGCGCTGATATGGTTTTCTGTGCATTTCAGAAGGAGATTGATGAGACGAGGAAAGAAGCTATTGGAACTCAAGTATTATGTTCCGAAGGCTTGTACAATACAGACGTTTCCTCTAATCACTACTTTAAATAGAAACTAATGTGCAAATCAGAAACGTGGAACTATTTCCTCCCCCGGTCAATGTTGCATTGTGACGAAAGGTCTTAAGGTTATCGATTTTTGGATTTGGATTTACAAAGCCCATGAACAGCGTGCCAATCCATCAACCCTGTAACTGTCACTAGATAGTGTACCATGTATACAGTTATTGACATTTTACCGAGTTATTCATATTTGCAATATTGTGCCAAATAAAAGGACACTAAAATGGTCATTACTGTACCGATGTACAACTTCGTGAAGAGACTTGACGTCCTCACTCCTCATTTATTCAAATTTGCTGTCCTTTTAGAACTTTCCACTTCTAAATAATCATCCACCTTCCACCACTTCCAGTTAAAACTTTTTTTTTTAGTATTTAGGAGGATACCGAACCAACGAACCTAGACGTCTCTTTTTCAAATATTTACCATCAAGTTTTTAGATTTGAGAGCGAGCGAGAGAGAAAAAAAAACATTGACTTTTCTTTGTTCATTGTTACAATACAATGAAGAAAACAAAAATTATAAACAGATCATCTGCCCCAAGATGACTTAAATGTTGAGTGAATATGATTTGATATTTCATTGCCTGAATATATTGGTATTTCTCAAAGTTTTCGGGGGATGTAGCCCCAGTGCCCCCTTCTTACGTCACACGCTTATGCAATTAAGATTTTTTTAATTTTGTAAAAGTGGTTCAATTGTGTTACATAATATTAAATACTGAATAAGGAAGCTCAAGTATGTACTTTGCCCCCCCCCCCGTAAAATCCAAATAAAGTCACTGTGGTTGTAAAATGGACACCTGTTAACCCCACCTGTCCCCCCATGGCCCCATCCCATTATTGCCAATCATCGTTATTGTGGAAATTGAGGCAAAATAACTGCCCGGTTTGTTCAAGTTTACTTCATTTGACAATTATTTTATGAACTGCAACAAAATTGATACAAAATATATCGCCCTCTTACGACAGGGACATTATAATGATGACTACCAGTAGCTTTTATCATTATTGATTTCTGTTTTAATTATTTATTTATTTTCTACTCAGAAAAGCTTTCTTTCTTCCATAAAATTTCAAAAAAGGAATATGAAAATACAAGTAGATGTCATGAATTATGAAAAATATGAAAAATGTATTGAATAACAGACAACATAATATATATACAAACAGTAGCGTACGCAGGATTTTTTCAAGGGGGGGGGGGGGTGGGGGTTAACATTTTTTGAATCGTGCCCCCAAAAACAAAGAAAATGCAATAAATTTTCAATAATTTATTGCGGGGGTAAAATGCAATAAATTATTGAAATATATTGCATTTTCTTCGTTTTTTTTTTAATTTATGGAAACTGCCCCCTACCCTAGCCCCCGCTGCGTACAGTCATGGTTCAGTGACAAAGCAATGGCCTCGTGACTGTGAGGCCCCAGGATCAAAACCGTGTCGATGTGCTATATTAGTGCCCTTTTGTGGGGCATTAATCCTCATTACTGTCATTTATGACTTAAGAGCGTAAGTCCCCTAGTTGATAAGCATAGTAGCATACACATGCTTTAACAGTCACACAAAACACACATTGTCAAATTATTATTCAATAAAATCTGAGAAAGTATGCTATTATCTAGATCTATTATTTTTAAATTATTTTAAAAATAATTCCATAAATTGGGGTAAAACAAAAATATTCCAACTTCATGAGCGACAGTGTATATACATACACACAGGCGCGTACGCAGGGGGGGGGGGGGTTGGGGTTGAACCCCCCCCCTTTGGTATTTTTTCTGTGTGCATTTTGGCGGAATCCCCCCCCCTTTGGTTTTTGTTTTTGTTTTTGTTTTTGTGTTAATTAAAAAAAAAAAAAAATTATACCAATGGCTGACCTAAAAAAGTTGACCTTACCCCACCCCAACGGAGCAAAATGTCAAATTTCCAAATTTCGAGACCACCCCCCAAAAAGGGGTAGTGGGTTAGTGAGCACTCCTTCATTTTTTTACTCAACACCTCTCCCCCTTGAGCAACAACATCAAAAAGTCCCGCCGAAGGCCACCTGAGTAAATTAGGGAGTGACCAGTGTCCACGGATCAGTCTCGTCACCTTATTCAAAAGAAAAACATGAGTAATTTGGATTCTAACATCAATTACTGGTATTTCAAAGCACTGCTACAGTTCAAGCTAGTACTTCCCTCGTGTGCTCACGAAAGTCAAGTTATGTCCAAGCCCTCGTTATTTACAAAATAGGCATATAATACACACAAAAACAATGATAGTGTAACAATGCTTACCGAATCAGGAGAACACAGACTTATGTTTGTTTAGACATTCGTTATTTTATAGGCCTCCAATCCCTCCATGGATTTGCCCGTGAGATCAAAGGGGCACTCTGTAATTCTGCATATTACAAAATGTTACTAAGAAATATAAAAAAAAGTATTATATTCTAGGATTTCTAGCACACTCAAAGGCAAATTATAGCATCCTCGCAACACAATTCTTGAAGGGACGTTAGACTTCAAAGTCTTTCTACTGTATATAGGACACATCTTCCTTTTCGCGGGGAGGGACTTGTCACTATGATCACAAATGCGGCTGCTATACATGCTTCCTCAAAATGATGTACCTCTCGTCATGAGCACCGAACTCTACTATACGTATTGCAGTGTTGAGTTCTTATTAGTGGTTTTGAGCATCGCCGCCTTGCACAAAGATGCCTCATAAATATTATTAATTTGCCTCCCCCTCCCCCCCCCCCCTCCCATCACATCCTATTATAAGCCCTTCCAATTTATTATTGGAGCTAGCTATATCAACTTCCGTCAAACAACGTAAAACTACAAGTTGGGTTTACTCTTTAAGAAGTAAACAAAGAAAAAGAGCACAAATGCTTCATCAACTTTACCTTTTATTTGCTAATTTTCTAAATCAATCTATTTCCTGAGTTGAAGTTTTTGAAAAACTGGAAACCGTCGTTCATATTCTGCCTGCGACTCGATAGACACACCTGCTTTGTGACGTCACAGGGGAATAGACCAATCATAGCACCGTTTTTTTCGAAGTTGACCGTCCGTGCGGAATTTGATTTTTCAGTCTCACTCTCAGTGTTTCTTGCTTTGTCAAAACATTACGTTTTCTCTTCTACACTTTGGTTTCTTCAATATTTTTCAGTAGGTAAGTGATGAAATAACATGATTTGTATAATATTGATCGATTGATTGATGAGAATGAATGATAATCTAGAAACTGGCGATTTAATACGTTATCTGAGAGATACGCGAGCTCAAGCCGAAGTGCATGTCCGGTCCCATATGTTAAAGTTTGTGTAATGTTGATGATATTCATAGTTCATAGTGTACGATAGTGGGCCCCTAACATTTCACTTGAAATTAACAAGAATTTTCTATTGTATTTCCCTAATTATGATTTCATCTTAATCCTTATATTCTAGAAAGTAAGTGTGCCGAAAATCTCATCAAAATTCGAGTACGAACAAATACAATGTTATTTTCACAAGAACATGAAGAGTGAAGAAAAGAAAAGGTGGTGTTGTCATTTGTCAATTTGGCGCTTGTTCAGAAACCTATCCACAATTTGACCCGTAACTCCAGCGTGGAGATACCCTACTAAAACATACCCAAATGAAGTAAATATCCATTAAATGTCCAAGTAAAGATCATGAGTTAAAAGCCATTATGTAATAGACTATTATCTACCTGTTTTGTGTCAAATTTCTTGTTATTTTTGGAGTATTTTTCGGAAAAACGTTGATAGATTTTCTATTTATCATGTTTATAGTGGACTAGAGTCTATACACTTTTTCACAGGTTTCACGGCAAACGTTTGCCGTGAAACCATACTAATATCAATGTTTTCCGAAAAATACTCCAAAAATAACAAGAAGTTTGACACGAAACAGGTAGGTCTAATAAACATAGACTAACGACTTTTGATCTTTATTTGGACATTTAATGAATATTTACTTCATTTTGGGTATGTTTTACTTTTAGAAGGGTATCTCTACGCCAGATCTGAGATTATATTATAAAAAAAAAGAGAAGAGTACAAATTTACAAATAGTAACAAAAAAACAAAAAAAGTGAAAGGCGTAAATATTCTAAAAAAGAATGAAGTGCCGATAATACCAAACAACAAACAAAACCAGAGTTACCGGTCAAATTTTGGATAGGTTTCTGCAAACACGCGCCGTCAATTTGAAATTGCAAAAACAAAAAGGAGAGATTCCCATGCATGTCTGTGCACTCATTAATTTTACACACACTTCGCGTTTTTTTACATGAAGGCATTTCAAGTAACTTCGAGGCTTGTGCATAAAAGTTACATGAAATTATACTTTCTTCATTATATTTTATTTGTTTTAAAATTCATGCATGAATATCAAATACTTAAATACTCTTGACTTCATCATCATCTGGAAGTGTAGGATATCCCAGTCAGATCACTTGGTACATAAAGGTCTATAAATCAGTGCATGCGTGGATGTCAGACTATGCTATAACAAAGTGTTTGTCTGACCAAAAAGAATCCAAGCTGTGTTTAGATGAGTTGATGCTGGTAGCAGTTGCTAGAGTAGAAACACTGGTAAATTGTTCCAAGACTGGATGACCCGATTGCTAAAAAAGTTACTCCTGACATTCAATCGACAGCGAGTAGTGAATAACTTCAATGAATGGCCTCTGTTCTCTGATACTGGGATTTCACAAAAAAAAAACAATCTGGATCGAGTCTATCTATACCATGAAATATCTTGAAAACGTGGATCATGTCTCCTCTTACCCTCCGGTAATGTAAAGAATAGAGATTGAGCCGTTTAAGTCTTTCGCTGTAAGATACATGTAGGGCGCTGAAACCTGGGAACAGCCTCGTCGCTCTACGTTGCACAGCCTCTTAAGTTACACTTCAAATCTAGACCTAGGCAGCTAGGCCTAGATCATTTAGTCTAAAGAATTTGTGATTGTTGCATGATGATGAATGAAGTTAAAGGATTGAACAATTATGAATATATACACATTATTACAAGGCCAAGGGCATGTTGTTAGTCAAAAGGAGTGATCATGATCAGATGATTCTGCTGTGTGTGTGCATGGATTGTCATGATTCAACATTTTGAATAAAACTAGCTTACCGTATGTAGTAATTATGTGAGTACTGTGTAGACATTGTGATTCTGTTTGTGTGACTAAATTGTCAACTTAGCATATAAATACTGGGACTCCTGGGAGTTGTGTGTCATCTTTATCATAGATATAAAAATCTGCTGCTTGGCCTAGGATGAGTTTTTTAACAACTATTTTGTTTTTTGACACTCAGATTGGGTGAAGCCAGACATAGCTAGACTTTCACTTGTTTCAGTGGAAAATATCTCAGAACAAAATAGACTGGTTTTTCAGTTTAGTCCCGAGATAAGGAATTAAGAGTGTGTGTCAGTATGTCCGGACCTTATAGTTGAGATTTAACACTTAAATTAAATGAAATTGTTGTTTTCCTTCGGATTTAACAAAAATATGAAATATGAATCAAAATTAAAATAGCACTAAGATCTAGTTTTGAAATACATGTAGATCTATGTCCCTTATAACATGTTAAGTCATAAAAGATTTATGAAATAATGCTGACTTCAAATGATCACTGTCTGGAGTCTCTGGACACACGACATGTGGCCTGTGGGCACTGATTTTAGATCTAATTATAATGTAACAAAGAATAGTCTATATAACAGTTAGATCATCATGTAAATAGATGATGTAGGTAAATCAAATGTTGAAGGTAAAGACCAGTTTTGGAAATGTTTTGACTAATACGTGATCATACAAATTTTGCAGAGAAACCGCCTACTAATTGATATATTTGGTAAATTATTATATCTATTTGGACCTGATAGATATCGCGCACGTGCCACGTATTTCAATATACATCCTTCTGATTGATTCCACAACGTTTCTTTCACAATGCAACCGCATGACCATAACTGGCCTTTATCTTTAACTTTCAGTTTTACTTTACAGTCATTAACTTTTTAGGTCTTCATGAAGTTTCTGTTCTGATTCTGATTCCGAATATGGCAAAGTTTGTCAAACTTTTCTCTGTCTTTGAATTTGACTTGTCATTTGTAATTGTAATTTGATTGCAAATTTCAAATTGTTTATTTCCCTTGAAAGGTACGGAAAGAAAACTTGAACACAATGAGTGGCAGAGAAGTTCTGTGTAACCCCCTCTACTATGTAGAGGTGATGCGACTCAAGTACACCGAGACACTGACAGACTGGTGCTGTATCGAGTTATCCCATGTGCTGGACTTCAGTGGTACAGACGGCCTTGGTCAGGTGCTGATGGGAAAGGTTGATAATAGGCAAGGCAAGACCATCATCAGGAAATTCACCAGGCATAAGAAAAAAGCAGGTGAGAGTGTTATATTTGTAGCAATTTCTTTTTAATCAAGCTTAAAAAGTCTCATAAGATATATTTGATAACAATGTTTTAAAGATTTGTGTTTTCATACTGGTGTTCATATTGTGCACAATACCTAGTTTTAAAAAAAGAGAAGGAAGAAAAATCTGTTGTGTAGTGCAGATGCAGATTAATTCATGTTTATTGTAAGGTGCACCAAGTGACACAAACACAAGTAAACATGTCATTTTTATTTACTATTATTATGTTGATACTCTCTGCTTATAGCGCGGTTGCCCTTTTTATTCTTTTTATATAACCCCTTGGAAATCATATGACCCCTTCAGTGGTCCAAAAAATGTCCCACACCCTACCAGTCAATATCTTTATAATATTTATCTGTGCTAGAGATCATATTTTGAAGACAAACATGCATTCTAGATACCAAGCATTTTATGTTTTTTCTTTTATAGCTGCCCTCCAGCCTCAGCTGTCAGTATTTGGTGCTCCATTGAATGAGGAAGGTTACTGTAAAGCCAGACAGCTGATTGACTATTTAAAGGATTGTGAGTTTTTTGATCTGGGAAAGTAGATATTTTACCTTATTGATGTGAAGTATGTATATTAGTAGTAGCCAACCCCTTCCGAAGGGACGGCACTAGATGATGATGATGTATAGTCGATTTATGAAAGGAGTAGCAGCCTAGAGTAGAGAAAAGAACCCATCCTATAATAACATCATGTAAATGATGCTATTTACTGGTTTATTGCAAAGTGTACCCATTCATGATATGAACAATTTATTTAAAGCCCTATGTCGAACTTACAACAACAAAAATATGAACAGTATTATGTATGTATTTGTAAAGAAGGTTATTTGACTGTGCATCAACTTGGTTGCACTTTTATGATTCATATGGCACCATAATTTTAAAAGGAGGCTCCTCCAACAGACCGGTTTACTAACATATTCAAATTTTATGCATACTTTTTTTAATATAAGTTGTTCTTGACAACTCAAAAGCTTGCACGAGGCTTGTCCGACATTGAAACAAGTAATACATGCAGACTGGATTCAAAGTATTGTAGTTCATTCATTAATAACAGGTCACTGGAATAACTCAGCACTTGGTCCTCAGGAAAGAAACATTCATGAATTTGAATATGTTAGTAAACCTGTCTATTGGAGGAGCCTCCTTTTGATCAGTATGGTTTTTCATCAGTATGATATTCTGCTGAAGTAACCCAACTTTGAGGCATGATTTTACTGAGTGTCACACATTCTTGTTTTTTCCAGATGTGCATGTTGAAGGACTCTTCCGTATCCCAGGGAACTCCAGCCGTCAATCACGTCTCAAGGACCTCCTCAGCATGGGTAGGACGGTGGACCTGGAAAGCTCTGAATTCACCCCGCACGATGCAGCCTGTGTCCTTAAGACCTTCCTAAGTGAACTACCAGAACCTCTGCTTACAGACAAACATTATGAAGCTCATATACAGGCTGCAGGTACAGTCATTGTAGAATGAATTAATATCTTATTTTGTATATATTCAAAAGTAAACTTGATTTCCGATGATTCACATTGTCTGTTCGAAGCAAGAAGGGAACTCATATATATTTTAACACAGTTACTGTCCTTGTGGCTCTCAGCAGACATATTATATCACAAAAATTTAATGCTATTATGGTAGAGTTGCTTCTGATATCCTATGTATAAGTTGACAGAAATGATTAACGATGAGTAATATTGCCGCCAACAACCAGACATGCCAATTTTTATTTACCATAGGGTAATGTAATTGTTAGTTTGGTCTGTAGTTGGTCTAGTGTCATTCTCGTCAGTGTGAATGGAGTATTTAAAGATGAAAGATGTTTGCTTTGTAACATTCCTAATTGGTGGTATTGTCTATATATACAGAGCTGACATACAAACTTGAGATCCTTCCCCATCAAACACCCGAGATGCTTGGGAGGCTGAGAGCGACACGGACGACCAGCCAGGTGGGGGCTCTCCGATACCTCTTCCTGATGCTCCAGCCCTGCACATACAAGCTCCTCAGGGACGTGATGGAACTGCTCCACACTGTGGCGGCCAACGAGGAGACTAACAAGATGAATGCTTCTAGTCTTGGCATCCTCTTTGCACCCCACGTTCTCTGGCCTAGATTCGTGAGTAAAAGTTTTAGGGTTTTAGCTCGACTTTTGATCTATTTTTCAAGTCAGACAACATAGACAACTCGAACTGGTTTGTGGCCAAATTCAACATTTTTAGGCCGTTTACAGTGGCTTACAACTAATATGGTACTATTCTTAATAGTTTCCCTGCCCTGAGAATAGGTGTGTGAAGTCTGGGCTCTGTCCCCTTTTCCACACTTGTGTAAGTATGGTCTCACCATGATACCAATCAAAGTCAATTCCTGATTTTCTCATTTTTCATTTAAAATTAATGTAATTCCACTATTATTTTGTAAGATTTGCCCATATAGTCAGGTCAAGATATGAAAAAAAAGGGGTCAACCTAGAACTAATTGCAACAGAAACGATTCCACTTGCATATAATCTGGAATAGCCATGAAAACAACATACTCAAAGTTGACAAAAATTGAAGTGGTGGATCAGTGCCTAATTTGCATAAATTCAAAATGGCCGCCATGTCAGACCCTGGTAGACACACAAAACCTATTTTAGCCTATATCTCTAGATCTTAAACACATAGAACGCTAAACGAAGTGTCTTTACACATGTTTGGGGGTCAATAAACATGATTATAGCATTATCAGCAGCTAACAACTACTCCTTGACTCTTAATTTGCATAAATTTGCATAAAATTAACCCTTTTTAAAGTCAAAATGGCTGCCATGTTTCATGTTTAAAACTATTTCTCATCTGATACTTACAGAAAGTTGATTTAAGTGCCCTTATCCATGTTTAGGGGGTCAAGGAAAAATAATTATGGCTTTATCGGCAGCTTAGAACTATTCCTTGACTCCTAATATGCATAAATTTGCATATAATTAACCCCTTTTAAATTCTGAATGGCTGCCATTTGTTCATGTTTAAAACTATATCTCTAGATCTTATACACATAGAAAGCTAAACGAAGAGTCTTTACCAATGTTTAGGGGGTCAAGGAACATGATAATAGCATTATAATCAGCTTACAATTACTCCTTGACTCCTAATTTGCATAAATTTGCATATAATTAACCCTTTTTAAAGTCAAAATGGCTGCCATGTTGCATGTTTAAAAGTATTTCTCATCTGATACTTAAAGAAAGTTGATTTTAGTGCCCTTTTACAAGTTTAGGGGGTCAAGGAACATAATTATAGCATTATCAGCAGCTTAGAATTACTCCTTGACTCCTTATTTGCATAAATTTGCATATAATTAACCCCTTTTGAATTCTAAATGGCTGTTTTTCATGTTTAAAACTATATCTCTAGATCTGAGACACATAGAAAGCTAAACGAAGTGTCTTTACTGATGTTTTTGGGGTCAAGGAACATAATTATATCATTATCAGCAGCTTAGAACTACTCCTTGACTCCTAATTTGCATAAATTTGCATATAATTAACCCTTTTTTAAAGTCAAATTGGCTGCATACGTTGCATGTTTAAAACTATTTCTCATCTGATACTTATAGAAAGTTGATTTAAGTGCCCTTATTCATGTTTAGGGGTCAATGAACATATGAGCAATGATTATATAATTAAGGTGCATGTATGATTTAATACTTTCTTTAGAGTAGCTCACAATATACGTCACGGTGTTGCCAATTTATGTGTGCTTGATTACAACTTTAAAAAATCATAATTTTCTTTAATATTTCTTCTTGTATTTTGCTCAAACCTTCACTGATCTGTTTCTTTAATTTTTCTGCTTCTGTTAAAACCAACTTCTAATCAGGGTGGACTTCTCATTAAAGTTTGGTGTTTTAACCATTTTCTTTGGTTAACAAACTTGACTGTACCATTTACTTCAATTCAATTCGTTTATTCGTCCATGTAAAAATATAAAAATAAGCTTCAGTCATATAGCGTGATGGATTTAAAGCAATTATAATGAGTTTAGTGTATAAAAATGTAATGGCAAGTCAAACCATTCAAAAGGGGATATGACCCGATTCTGATAACTAAAATCTTTTGCTTGTAAATACACAGGATATGGGTTAATTAACACTCAAAGAAACCAGACTTTCAAATTGAAAAACCCCCGGAATGATATTAAGGACGGCATTTGTTCCCTCTTGAAACGCCGAAAAATACCCCGGTGTGTGCAGCTGAATATACAATGGCGTCTTATTTTGTTTACAAGCGACACATTCCTTTAGTTTTGTATCGCTGCATTTGTCATCAAAATAAAAACATGCGCGGGGTTTAGAGTGAGGCAATAGATTATACATTTAGCCTGAAGGTAGTGAAGTAAGAGAAAGAACTCAAGAGAAGATGAAAACACAGGCACTGAACATGTGTGAGATGTCATGGGACATCGTCTGCTTGTGCAAATCATGTCCATACTGTGATCTCACACATCTTAGCAGCGTTCAGAGAACTCTTCAGGTGCTATTCCGGGGCTGTATTTAAGCGTTTTGAAATTTATAATAATCAGTACTTCGAATGTTTCCAAGCATTGAATTTTGATATCATTGTTGAATCAAAGTTTCAACTTTGCAATAATGAAAATAGAGTAAGTTTTTAGAATTAATGAATATCTACTTTAATTTCTGTCTCCCTTACAGCTTTGACGATAAGAGACACGACGTTAAAACCGTCTGTGTTTCTTTCATCACTGTACGTGGATGAAAATAAAGTTATTTTTTAAAATCAATGAATATCTACTTTAAGCAAAATGACAAGGCTCACCTAGTGTTCAGAAAATTAGAATGGTTCTTAACAGTTTGCTAGGAATGCTTTCTGATTAAAATAAGGACCTATGCATTTATACCAAATACAACTTGATGACACTAATTTGCAAAGTAGAAAGAAAATCATGAAAACAAATGAGCATCCATATTAGAATATGATGCATTTATCAATCATTGGATGTAAGGTGCAAATGTTTATGGTTGATTATCTGGCAACCTGTGGATAAAAATAAGAATTAGAAGTTGTGCTTCTTAATGTCTCAACCATTTTGCAAAAGTATCTACCATTTACATTTATATTTCTTCCAAGAAAAGTGCTGCTTCAAGGCCTTGAAGATTGCGCACTGTGTGTGTATGTGAGGAGCCTGTGTGAGCCTGCTGGCCAGGATCCTTGTGCATATATGTACAGGGTGCAAGTAAAAACTTTTAATCCTGTGGGGGCAGTTAGGGGTGCTTAAATGCCTCAAGGGAGAGTGAGCAGGCTGGATCTACTGGAAGGTTGTTCCAGTCCTTGGTAGTTCTGGGGAAGAAGGAGATGATGTAGGCTTGGCTAGTGCACAGTGTCGCTCCGAAGCGGAATCCGTGACCTCTTGTTACAGATGTTGCTGCCTTAAGGTATTGTTGCCATTCAATGTCAACAAGACCAAAGCGGATGCGATACAGCATTGCAAGATGGCTTTGCAGACATCTACTAACTAGCGAGGGCCATTTTACTTTCTTCATCATAGATGTAACACTGCTGGTACGATCGAAGTCGCCACAGACATACCACGCACTCCTGCATTGAACCATTTCGACCTTGTTGATGTTTCTTTGGGTGTGTGGATCCCATGCTGTTGCAGCATACTCCACTATGGGCCTAGTGTATGTGACATACGTAGCCTCCTTGATCTTGTGGTTGCAGTGTCGAAAGTTACGGCGCAGGAAGGCACAGACAGAGTTAGCCTTCTTGACTGTGGCATCTACATGGGCATGGGCGTCAATCCTGGGGGGACGGGGGGGGGGGGGGGACACGTCCCCCCCCCCCCCCACGAATTTTCAGGTGGTGAAATGTCCCCCCATGATTTGGGGTTTAAATATTTTTTTTTTGTTCTCTCTTTCTCTCTTTCTCTCTGTGTTGAGAAAAATCAAGCAAAATCAGGCGATCAGATTTTATTAAAAGAAGCGTCATTAATATTACATTCACATTACCGGAAGTACAAACATTGGTTACGATGAAGACAAAAAATCTTTTCACCAACTGAAAAAAAAATCTCCCTTGTATCTTCCAAACCTTATGGCTGATTGTTCAATGGAAACGACAAATTCATCCATCTACCCCCTTGCATTCTTGTTCCTGTTATTTGATCTTAAGACTGTTTTCTCTTTAATTTGGCAAAAATTATGCCCCAAATCAAGCCATCTATCCATCAATTTAAAAAAAAATCTTTAACTTCTGAGGGGGGCACATCCCCCCAACAGACACCCCCTGCGTTCTTGTTCCTCGTTAATTGAACTTAAGACTTGTTTTCTTTTTAATTTGGCAAAAAGTATGCACCAAAGCGAGCCATTTAAGCATAAATTTGAAACAAAATCTTCAACTTCTGAGGGGGCACATCCCTTCAGACATCCCCCCCCCCCCTGTGTGGCGCAGCCCATTCGCCTCCCTAACAAAATAACCTGGCGCCGCCCTGTCTGAACTTGTGTCCCCCCACTCCACGGTCTAATTTGGATTGACGCCCATGTACATGGGCATTGAAGTTCAGCTTCTGATCAATGTGGACCCCGAGGTACTTGGTTGAGTTGACCTGCTCCAGCTGATGACCATGGATGGTGTATTGGCCTAGGAGTGGCTTCTTCTTGTTGGTCACTCGCAAGACCTGGCACTTGGAGGGATGGAATTCCATCTTCCACGTCTTCTCCCAGTCCTGGAGCCTGTCTAGATCTTCTTGCAGTTTGTCACAGTCCTGGATCGATCTGATTGGTTTGTAGAGCAGACAGTCGTCAGCATAAAAGCGTGTGGTTGAATGCCTAATGCAATCTTGTAGGTCATTGATGTAGATCAAAAATAACAATGGACCTAGGACGCTACCTTGGGGTATGCCAGATGTGACCTTGGCTTCCGAGCTGAGTTGGCCCTCCAGTATGACTTGTTGGGTACGGCCAGTCAGGAAGTTCTCGATCCACTGAAGAGTAAGGCCGTGTATACCACAATGTTTGGCTTTGAGAAGGAATCGTTTGTGAGAGACCTTGTCAAAGGCCTTAGCAAAGTCTAGTACGATTACATCATACTGACCCGTGTCTTCCAGTCCTCTAGCAAGGTCATGGATGGTGAGGGTCAGTTGTGTCTCACAAGAACGGCGCTTCCGAAAGCCATGCTGATTGTCAGATAGAATGTCATGATGGATGAGGTGGTGGATAACTGCACAGTGAACAACATACTCACACAGCTTGCATAAGATCGCAGTCAGTGAAATCGGCCTGTAGTTACCCGGGGATGACTTGCAGCCCTTCTTGTGGATGGGAACTACAAGTGCCTTCTTCCACATCGATGGAACGCATCCTTGATGAAGGGAGGCTTGGAAAAGCAGGGTGATCGCAGGGGAGATCTGATCGGCAGTTTCCTTCAACATTCTGGCAGAGATTCCGTCTGGCCCTGTTGCTGTTACTCGACAAAATCAAAATTGTTTTTGCAACCACTGGATTATTTATTTGGAATGGACCAGTCATCTGCCAGAGCACAAAAATTGTGTTGGATTCAAAGAATAAAAGAAGCCGATAAACAAGGATGGTTTCAAATTCTTCAATTGTATCTTTAAAAGAACAGTAGTTTGTTCCTGCTTAACTGTAACTATGGTTATAAAATGTTAGACAAAAACATTCCTAAGTTCTACCAAGCTATTTTCCTTGACCCCCTAAACATGAATAAGGGCACTAAAATTAACGTTCTATAAGTATCAGATGAGAAATAGTTTTAAACATGCATCATATTATGGCAGCCAATTTGACTTTTATATAAAAAAGGGTTAATTATATGCAAATGTATGCAAACTAAGAGTCAATGAGTAGTTCTAAGCTGCTGATAATGCTATAATCATGTTCCTTGACCCCCTAAACATCGGTAAAGACACTTCGTTTAGCTTTCTATGTGTATCAGATCTAGAGATATAGTTTTAAACATGAAAAAATGGTAGCAATTTAGAATTTAAAATGGGTTAATTATATGCAAATTTATGCAAACTAGGAGTCAAGGAGTAGTTCTAAGCTGCTGATAATGATATAATCATGTTCCCTGACCCCTTAAACATGGATAAGGGCACTAAAATCAACTATCTATAAGTATCAGATGAGAAATAGTTTTAAACATGAACAAATGGCAGCCATTCAGAATTTAAAAGGGGTTAATTATATGCAAATTTATGCATACTTGGAGTCAAGGAGTAGTTCTAAGCTGCCGATAATGCCATAATTATGTTCCTTGACTCCCTAAACATGGATAAGGGCACTAAAATCAACTTTCTGTAAGTATCAGATGAGAAATAGTTATAAACATGCAACATGGCAGCCATTTTGACTTTAAAAAGGGTTAATTTTATGCAAATTTATGCAAATTAGGAGTCAAGGAGTATTTGTAAGCTGCTTATAATGCTATTATCATGTTCCTTGACCCCAAAACATTGGTAAAGACTCTTCGTTTAGCTTTCTATGTGTATAAGATCTAGAGATATAGTTTTAAACATGAACAAATGGCAGCTATTCAGAATTTAAAAGGGGTTAATTATATGCAAATTTATGCATACTTGGAGTCAAGGAGTAGTTCTAAGCTGCCGATAATGCCATAATTATGTTCCTTGACCCCCTAAACATGGAGAAGGGCACTAAAATCAACTTTCTGTAAGTATCAGATGAGAAATAGTTATAAACATGCAACATGGCAGCCATTTTTACTTTAAAAGGGTTAATTTTATGCAAATTTATGCAAATTAAGAGTCAAGGAGTAGTTGTTAGCTGCTGATAATGCTATAATCATGTTCCTTGATCCCCCAAACATTGGTAAAGACACTTTGTTTAGCTTTATATGTGTCACAGATCTAGAGATATAGGCTGAAATAGGTTTTGTGTGTCTACCAGGGTCTGACATGGCGGCCATTTTGAATTTATGCAAATTAGGCACTGATCCACCACTTCAATTTTTGTCAACTTTGAGTATGTTGTTTTCATGGCTACTCCAGATTATATGCAAGTGGAATCATTTCTGTTGCAATTAGTTCTTGGTTTTTTCCTATTTTGACTGTACTAATAAGGGACCCATGTTATTAGGTAGGCTTCATAATTATGTATGCATGATTTATTAGGTTGCCCATCGTAATTCTATGTGATTTGTAGCACACATGCAAGCATTGATTTCAAACCCTGTCCTTCACAATATGTAGATGTAGTCAGGCTATGTCCTTTTTTTTTCCTGCCCATTTTATGAATACGGTATTGTGATCATAAGAGTGATCAAAATTTGTTAATTCTTGTTTCCACATAATTGTGATGACCTGATAATGCCATGCTTTGAAATTATAACTTTAGACTTTCGCTATGTGAGGACAGTATATCTTACTTGTTCTCCCTTTTTAATGCTGTCTTCATTTCTTTCTTCTGGTAATTATTATTTCTTATTCTGTTTTAATTATTCTACAGTTGACTACAAATGACTTGAGGGATCAGAGCTACATCAATAAACTCAACTATGCTGTGGAATTCATGATTAGCTACACAACCAGCATTTTCAAGGTAGAGAAACGTAGGAGTTTATGTAGTTGACATGAATGGAAATTTGGAATTAAGCATGTATTTCCTTCACAAAATTGTAGTAGCTGTCTTTTTACAACCTTGTAATTCTGATGTCTTAAAGGCACTATGTCCCATTTGCAGGCTGAAAAATTGAAAAGGTTAAATTCCAACAGCATTTGTAAGATAATATTAATTTAGAACTTCCCTCAAAACGAAAGGGTTTAAAAATGTCTTTTTGTGGGAAAATAACGAACGTTGGTTGTTGAATTTAGGGATTGCAGTTCTTTTTATCAAATAGTCTGATTTTTGAACCCTTGTACCAAATGGTTGTACCTTTTGTGCTGCGCGGAGATTGAATCAGTTTAATTTTGGCCATTACAAGAAGTGGGTTATTGATGAAGAAAAATGCTCATGTACCCTTTACAGCTCATTTTATGTGTGTTATTACCAAAGTAAAATGTCAGTCACTCAGTCAATAGTGTCTGACAGTGAAGTCTAGTCTCTTTGATCGCAGTTTCTGCGCTTTCTAAAAGAATATATATTGTTGGTAGTACAAGTACTGTATGGTGATGGTATGTTTTTTTCTGTTTACATCAAGTCTTGGATACTACTGTGTATTTTAGTTGGCCATACATGTGCTTGATTGTTGACACATGTTCTTGTATACTTGCAGGTCCCAGACTCTATGCTCCAAAAGTGTGCATTGTTTGTCAAAAATGGAGGGAAGTTACCAGAAGACGAAGAAGAAAAGATCAATCATCGTCAAAGAGCACAGGTAAGCTGCCCCTTCAAAAACAAAAACAAAACATGTTCAAAACTTTTATGTGACCTCTATTCAAATTTGCTGTACTTCCCCACAAAATGGCATTTGCTATTACAGTGGAAACACATTAAAACAAGGAAATTTGGAACACAAAAGTTCCTTGTTATACCAGCTTACTTGTATCATGGTAAAACAAAACAAAAGATATATATATATATATATCTAATGAGCTGGGACCAAAACAAATTACCTTCCTATACCAGGTATCTCTTTATAACAATGCTTTTTATATCAAGTTTCCACTGTAAAAAGTTGTAGTTACTGAGAAATTGTTTGTGCTTTCATTTATACTCCAGTTTTCTTTTAAGTAAGAAACAAACAAATCTAAATCATCTCTAACGATTTTGCCCTTTCTATTAAGACATTGAACATTTCATTCATTCATTCATTCATAATTTTCAGTTCCAATTAAAAATCAAAATCTTACAAAGGCATATCATGGTATAATAATAAGATAAGATTTACTCAGTTTGGAGTTCAGTTCCCAATGATTTCTAATTTTCTATAATTCTTTGGCAGTCCGACGATGAATTGGAGTGTGTTCGAAGGCTTCCTATAAGCCAGCCGGAAACAGGCTCAGTAACAACCCACAGTACGCAGGATTTCACACAGAACGCCCTCGCTCAACTCTATGCTGACGTTCAGTCCATGCCTGAAAGCTCCAAGAAACGCAAACTCATGAAGCAGGTATGGATCTGTTTTTATATAGTCGCAACAAAACATACCGTATTAATCACATGTATTGGAAACCATTATCTTCCTTTGTAAAACTATAGTAATTCCTCTTGCTTTATAAGAAGTAAGATATTATATATCCTCTCATGTTATATTCTTAGTGCATGCTCTTATGAATAAACTGCTCCATTTCACTTTATGTTTTCTCTCTGCATGCTACATACACCTTTGATATATTTTGTTTTATTATTAACCAACGAATCAGTCATATATATTACTGTATTCATTGGTTCATGCTATCGATGAAGATTTGTTCTTCTTTGCATGGCTAGTTTCTCTAGTTTGACAAATTGTCTGCTCAAAGCCCGAAGGATGTTAACTCTTATCATTTTGCACAGAGTTATTATCCTTCTCACTCTAAACAGATCATATACTGTAAACGCTGTTATTTTTGGTGATTAAATTTTAATGCTGAGCAACCCCAAAACATATTCTCTGGTTCTTAAATGCCTGTTGCACATAATTTAGCCGGTTCCAAACATGCATAAGAAGTCATGCTTATATTTTTGCGAGTTCCAAAATTCGCGCTTGCCGATCTTAGCGCAAAATCTGTGAAAATTAATGTACCACAAATATTTCTACTTTTACAGTATATATATGTTCTTTGTCTTTACTATATAATTTTGTATCCCTAGAGTTGTAGTTTTCTATGCCATGTATGCATGTGTTTATTGAGTAAATCATTGGGCAGAGTGAATCATTTGTTGGTGTCATATGTTGTTGTTGTTTTTCTTCATACAGGATGAATATAGAAGTAGAAGCATTGTCAATAAGGTATACTGGTTTGGTTATATATTTATTTCATACTTGTTTGTCCATCCCATCCCATCCCATCCCATAGCCTACCTTCTCCAATCCTATCCTTTCCTATCCTACGCCCCATCCCTTACCCTTTCTCTGTGACTTCAAGGTGGTAGCATTGATTTGAGGTTAAATGAAATAAAATTTACAAAACTATTACAAAATTCCATGTACCTGTACTGTAGATGTAGTTAACCAGTTATCACTGTTAAGTGATCAAATCAACAACGTTTTACTTTCTCATGCAAGCATGTTTAGTGCATTAAATAGTAGATTTTGCAATTTGACTTAGACCTTTAACCAAGTTATTTGTAAAATAAATTAAATGTCATTCCCAATTTAAATTGGAGTTTTTTAATTAACATTTTCAAAATGTTTATTTTTTAATTTTTTTCTTCTCAGTTTTTTAAAAACTATTTCAAAAAAGCCAAATTAGTGAGTTTGGCAGAATTGTAACCTCTTTCTAGGAAGTGGTTTCATTTTGTAAACCTTTAAATCAATGCTACAACTTTGGACCTGTTTGTCTACCTACATGTATTTGTCTGTGTAACTTGGGGAAGGAATGCAGCTGTGATTTTTAACCCTGTAAATGCAAAGAAAAAACCATATGATGTAAATTACCATATTTCATTTTGTGTCATGTTGACATGCTTCGAGCAATATCCAGATTAAAAGCTATAAAATGTTTATTTCTACAATGCATCAATGCCAAGGCTATTATGTCACTAATGCAACTCTAATGATAGTTTCATGATACAACTCAATTCTAATTATCATCCATTTTCTCCTTTAATAAGAGGTCAAGATATCCCTTTATCTGCCATATGTTTATGTTTGTGTACAGAGTACATAAACCATTGATGACAATTCTCCATATTGTTTATCAGGTTATTTGTGTACATAACAATGCTTTTATTCACAGCTATATGATCCGCTAACTGACAAATAAGAGATTATTCAGTTCTCTTATTTCAGTTACTGTTCATGGATCACATATTAGATATTTTGTTTGCAGTGATAGCACATTGTGAGTTTTCAGCACTGTGTTTTCAACAGTTATGATTCTTTGACCGATAAATAAGTGATTCTTTTATTTCAGTTACCATGGATTTTTGTGGATTTTGTGGATTGCTGGTTACACCTTATGATTACAGTGATAGCACTTTTTTGTTCTGTTTCCTTTTTTAGATTTTCCTTAAACTTCTTTGTCTCACAATGTTTCTTTGCTTTTATTAATACAAAATGACAAGAACTGTTGATGCCACATAATACACTTCTCTTCATTCGTTCCTAACTTGAATGTGTAGATGTGTAGTATCTATCTATCTATGCTGTGTCATGATAGGAATATGACTCTCCATCCAGATGATAGAATTTCTTTTCTTTAATCATGATTTCCAAAGTCATGTGCAAAAACTTTAGTGATGTTCATTGTCATCTCTCTGTATATTTCTAATCTGTTCTTTTTTTTAAATACTTTTAAAAAGAAAACAAACATGTACAAGTATATACTTTGAAAGTGCAGTTTACTCACTCATCAATCAGTTCATCTAAAACGAATGCATGGACCACAATTCCTGTCAGTGAATTATATTCTATTTTCTTTCATGTTAGGGATATTGAAAAGAAAACATGGTTACATGAAAGTGCAGCTTATTGGCTCTTCAGATCAACTAAAACTCACATTCATGCTATTATTTCTGTCAATAACTTTCATCTTGATTTCATTCTTGTGTCACTTCAAATTTGTGATGTCACATTCATAGGTAGCAATTATTGTTTGGTAGTAAAATCCTAAAATCTTTGGTAAATGAAACACCTATAGTCATGTTGTGACAAAGCTAGACTTTTAAACCAGTTATTAGCTTCATATTGTTCCATCGCAGTCTGCCCTTTTGCTTGTTGTATACCATATTCATTGAAATTTTCACGATCACTCTCCATCCACCCTCCTCCCCCTTCCCTTATTAGTTCGTACACAACAGCTATCTCCCAGGCACGCCTACCAAAGTAAGAGAAGATGCTGTCCAGATGACAAAGTCTCAGGAGCGGTCTCGCAAGCATCACAGACGTAGTCGATCAGCCGGCGATGTACTTGTGGTGCGTTTCAAATTGGCCAAGCATGTTTGCTCAGACTGAAGATGTGCTCGTGATTGTTGTGCCTGCGTAAAGATTGGTCGTGTATTTGACGAGATACGTGGTGATCCAACGTTTTCTCTGACAACAATTGCATGGTCTGGGCTTTCTTTCATTTTAAGATACAAGAAACAATCACATATTTCATGTCATACTGGTATGCAGTGCCTATCAAAGACATCATCTTTCGCTATAGGCTTATACATGCTTATTTACTCACATGGGACGATTTAGCTATAGACATACGGTATATACATGTATCTCCAAATGAATGTGTATGTGGCCATGATGAAGAATAGAAATTGCTTTGTTATCAAGAGGGCGGTCTATAAAAAATTTCAGCTCATTTCATTTGTACGTATCAGTCTTCTTTTTTTAATTGCTTTAATTTGATTCAACAATTGTTTTTATAATTAAAAAAATATATGCATAACATCCATTAGCTAAATTTGGGCGTTTTATTCACTTTTTTGACATTGTACAGTAATACGAATTGCATCATACAAAAACATTGAAATACCATTTGTGTTCATTTTTTGTTCATGTTGTTAGCTTTTGCATATAATTCCTGTCGAAATGATTTAGTGGCATTGATTAGAGGGGAAAAACGTTAGCCCATTGTGAAAGAAATAATAGCCAGGTGAGTTTTGCCAAGCATTGTAAACTTTCAGCATTAAATCTTTAATAGTACGTCAATTCAAGTTCAATAGGCAAGAATATGTTTACAGGCTAATAATCTTAAACTAACATTTTCTTGTTTATTGATTTTTGTGTATCCCATGATCTTGTTTTCAGAAGCAGCTAAGTACACCGTTCAGCAGTCGCAAGAAGAGGCTAGCACCAAATCCGCCACCTCAAAAGTTTTTGGTGAGTATAAATTAAGTGCATAAAGAACAATTAACTTGAACCTGCACAACACATCACAACATTTGCAAGATTTGACTTTTTATGTGCAGGTCTTAAACTCTTAATCTAAATGAGGAGATTCTCAGCTTTAATATGATATACATGTATAACTCATCACAGTTGAATGTACCCAACTGTCTGGGGGGAGAATATGGTGTCTTACATAATGTTACTTGAGAGAATAAAAGTCTGTTGTCTATTTCAGTGCTCTGACTCTCCAGTTTTTGTGCAAGATGACAAAAGGAAGATTAGAACTCTTCTAGACATATCTGTGAAGATATTAACAGATGGTCCTAAGATCTTTCACACCAATTATGTACACCTTGTTCTTTATTTTGTCCTTGGTTCAATTCAACAGCTTTAATAATCTTTAAGTTATAATAAATGAAAATGTGACCAGTAAGCAGAGTTGAAAAGAAATGAAAATTATTACAACAAATTCAATATCAGATAGACGTAGGTCAACAAAACACTGCCCAAATACCACTTCAAGATTGCTTGCTGCTTCCAATTTTTGTGTAAATACTTCTAGCTTGATTGCGCGTCCCATTTGGCATAAAGTTTTAGAAGAAAATCTCAGCTTGTCTTCTTTCTCTTTTAAGGTTTAGAATATTTAGCCTTTCCTTAATTATTAGATCTGTTTATTATTTCTTTTTGAACCAGGATATCCTAAGAAATGATTAAAACCCCTAGATTTCTTTATATTGTATGTGTTGGAACCAGAAGGGCGTTAACTCTCTGTTGGGGGTATGAGTAAGTACCCTTCTGACTCCAAACAGACAATATCACCATGACATTCACCATTTCCCCGCCATATTGGATGTGACTTTTCCCTCTGTTGCTTACAAATTGCAGAATGAGACTTATCACTTATTTCTTATCACAAATCACATTATCTTTCCCACTAGCCTACCTCACACTCCGTTGAAGAACCCGGATATGAGAATGACCTGGTAAACGGCCTCAACGACCTCAATAGCTGCAGTGGAAGGACATCTGGCAGTCCATTTAGATTGTCCATGAGAAAAAAGAAGGTATGTCTTGCAGTGCTTGTCTTAAAGAGAAGGTTGAGTTCTGGAAAGAAGTGTGGAAGAACATCAGATAACAAAATGTTCCCTAAAAAGCATGGCTCTGCAAATGCCTTAAAACATTCTAAATATGGCATGTAACATTATAAAAATCAGGACGGATTTCTATGTCAATGTTTGTGTAGTCCCATATACATCTTTCTGTGTACAATGCTTGTAACTTTACCAAGACTGGGCGAAAATTTGTGATCATTTTGTAGATTCCAGAACCTTGCAGTACACCCCAATACTTGTATGCTAGATGATTAACCTTTTCTGATCGATTCCACAACGTTTCTTTCACAATGCAATCGCATGACCAGAACTCAACTTTATATTTAAAGACGATGCTGCAACATTTTTTTTTGAAACGTGTCTAGTCAACACTTTTATTTTGCAATAAATAGTATCCATCAAAATTGAACTGAGTAAACCCAAACAATAAGATGATTATTTTTCATTTTGGACTACTTAGTCAGAGATGCCAACCCTCCCGATTTTATCGGGAGGCTCCCGATAATTCACCCCAACTCCCGACCTTACGATCACCATCCTTATCCTCCCGATTTATTAAAAAAAAAAAAAAAAAAAAAAAATGATTTTTTTTTTTTTTTTTTTTTTTTTTTTTTTTTTTTTTTTTTTTTTTTTTTTTTTTTTTTTTTTTTTTTATTATGATTTTTTTTGGAGGGCGCTTATCAGTATATATATCTGTGAATTGAAAGAGAAATATCATCTGCTAACTTAAGCATGTAATAATTCCACTATGTTAAAAGACAAATTAAGAGTAGCGAAAGATTGTTTCAGCATATGGATCGCCGTAACCAATGCGTGGATATTGCCACAGAATCCAAATGGCGGAAAATCAGCAAAATAAGACCAGGAAATGGTCTCGGAAGTATAAGACCGAATACAGTATCAAGTACCTGTGTAATCGGAAGTCTGAAAGTAATTCATCATGCATTTTGTACAATTTTTATGTTATTTTAAAAAAAAGGGGGAATTATTTAACTAAATACACATGTAAAATGCTCCAAAATAAGGCTCAGATTGCACCAGAGAGCATCTAGAACCCCAGAGCTTCCAGGGCCCTAAGGCGGGCCCTGGACCCCGGCCGCATGTGTCGGGCGCTACGCGCTCGAGATGTGCGCTACGCGCACATTAATTGGTGTCGATTACAAATCCTCCCTATTTCTGATTTCCAAAAGTTGGCATCTCTGCTTAGTTAGCACAAGGCTACTCTAGTTGTCCAATAAAGTCTGCTGCTGCTACTTCTATGTTCTTCACAAAATGTCAACTCTATTGCTGCTTGAAGGCTTGTGTTATTAGAACTATTGCAAACTTGCACTAAAATATTCAATTTTTTGTTAGAGTATACTCAATGTTGTGCTGTAAAATTATATTTATTCCATGAATATGGTAGACCATCCGTCAGTTGTGAAGTTTGAAGTTGAAAATTGCCCAGCTCAGATGTCTGATACAGTTAATAATCATTTATATACAATTTAATACAATATACATATTATTGTGTAACTGGAGCTGAAAAATGACAACATACTAAATTGTTGTAGGAGCACGTGTCATGCAACTCTCCTTCTGTATCTCACTTATTTTGCTGATTACAATTACATGTAGTTCATATTTTTTTCCCCGCCATTAGTTACACTATTCTCTACATATCTGTTTCCTTAGGATTTAAACATCCCTTCACCTGCGCCCCGCACCACACCCCACACCCCTGGGTCCCACCGGCGTAATGACACCCCAGGTGCTCGCCCTGTCTCTCAGAGGACCAAGCAGCCCCTCCCAACCAGCCAGGAGCCCCGCCCTACCAAGCAAACAAGCAGTAGTTCCAGGAGACCGGTCCTCAAGCCCCATAGCACTGATAACATCACCCCTACCCGCAAGGCACCAAGTGCACCCCCAAAGAAGTACTCCCCTTATATCCCACCCCCAAGGAGCCATTCTTCACCAATAGAAATGGACTACGAAGCTCCAACAGAGGTATGTATGGCTTTCATCCACTTTCTCAATACCTCTTCATATTACTTTTAGAATAAACGTTATACCAGGGGGCGTTTCACAAAACTTGTCATCAGTGACAAATGTCAGTTTGTTGTTATAAGCTACAGAGATCCTTGCTTCTGATTGGTTATATCAGCAGACTTGTTACTGATTTGTCATTAAAAAAAGGCTTTGTGAAACAGGTCCCAGATGAGCAACTTGGAATAGCATTCTCTCAGGTGTTCTGCCAAGGGCATTCCCACAAAAAGGAGCCATCTTTCCCATCCCACTATATCTAGAGTATTTTACCAAGGGATGAAGTAAATACATATAAGATATTTCCATGTATAATACATGACTATGCACTAAAGTAAATATATAAATAAATAAATAAATAAATAAACGTGACTCCAAAGGTAATATGTCCCATTTGCAGGCCAAAAATAAAAAGGTAAAATTCCAACGGCATTTGAACGATTATACTAATTTAGAACTTCCCTCAAAACGAAAGGGCTTGAAAATGTCTTTTAGTGGGATAGTCGTTACGTTTTGTGCTGTGCAAAGATTCAATCAGTTTAATTTTGACCATTACAAGAATTGGGTTTTTGATGTACACAAATGCTCATCAGTCACTCAATATTGTCCGACAATGAAATCTAAAAAGTAAAGTATCCTTGTATAATCTGAATATTAGGACACTGCTAACATTTAAATTTTACAGATAGGACACACATGGCATATTCATAATAGTTCTACAGAATTTGATGTTGGCTGCAAATGGAACATAGTACCTTCAAGAGATATTAAAGTGAATAATGCTTTTCTTGTTGGTCTGACAGAATTCTACCAAGCGAGGTCTTCCTCGCCCCAGAAGCCAGTCCTCCCCGAAGGAGATGCTCCGAGGAACCTCATCCCGACAGTCCCAGTCCAGAAGGACCCCGGTCCCTGCACCCCGCACCAACACTCCACCGGTATCTACCACCAAACAAAGGAAACGCAGGAGCGATGGCACAGCCGTTGATAGTCCTCTGGTCGTAGGGAGTCATCATGCAGCATCACACAGGCCAGTACCCAAACCAAGGATAGTAGTGAGTTCATATTTGTTCTTCATTATCTTAGGATTTGTAGAAATTTTAGGTTCACATTTTTATAGGTCCTCATCATTAAGTCATTGAGATACCTTTTGTATATATCACTTTGAAACATAATTTTGAAACCTTACAGGCAGGAAGAGTTGGTGCTTTGTCTATGAATACCTTTTTTTAAAATAAATAATGTTATATTTCATCTTTCCTTAAAGCCTGTCAACACTAGTTTGGCCAGGAGGGATTAGACCTCCCTGCATGGTCACTGACAGGTGGTTATCTCATCAAATCAGCTCTCAATTAACATAAGAAAAAGGGGATTATGGGGGACCCATGCTAAGGCATTGTTCGCTACATAGAGGGCGCAAGTAGCTACAAGTAGTGCAGTCATCAGTGATTTAATTTTTTAAAATAATATTTTCGTAACTCTTGAGATCTTAGCTTAGCTTTTAAACATATGTATCACCATACAGATGACCTTGCATGATAGTTTTCTGAACTCTTGAACACTTGAATAGAATGTTTCAATGAATACACATTTCAAGATATTTAAAGATTAGACCCATACAAATATATGCATGAAAGTAATCATCAGTCATCAGTGATATCAAATTTTGTTTTGTTTTCTCTTCTTTGCTATTTTCTCTTGTGCAGGATAAAAGGCAACTTCAAACAGCTGTTTGAGTACTGATATATGACAGGAATACAACCTCTGCATACATCATTATCCAAGTCTACAATCGCAAGAGACTCAATTGTGAGAGACAATCGATGCCCATCAAGACGGCATCGTGTAAACTTTTCACCAATGGCAGAAATATCATATATAAAGTCTGCATTAAAAAAGTAAACATTGAATTTGCCCTGCTCCAACCTGTTGCTTGAATGATTTTGCAATGAACCTCATGTGCAGGCTCTGTTGTTTAGAACCAGTAACCAGGACGACAAGCGAATATGATGTTAGCACTTTGGTACTCTATGGGATGTTGAATGTTCACTGCTATTATTAGCCTTGGTGTGTTATACATGTCATTTTCTTAAATGTTTGTATTGTGTACAACAACATAGTTCTACCTATGGTTTGTCAGCTATGATTCATCATGAATACATTTGTCATCTCACACCTGTATAGCTGCTGTATAAATGAAGACAAAATTGTTTGTGATTTTGATCAAACATAAAGATCTTTGCAACAGGTTCCAGCTAGTTGGTTCATGCGAGAAAGAACTTACTGTATTGCAGTTCTCAGCACTACAAGAAACATTTGCTACTTTGATCATGTTTGTTGCTATTGGGGCACAATGCCAAGTATTATAGAACAAACGAGTGGAAAAATATACATATACTGTACCTATTTAAAAGTTGATGAATATACGTGAAGATTGAGAAAGATAGCGAGGGATTTGTGGGTTAAGTGGCATGTGCCACTGACTTGCTAATCAAACGCGACTAGTGTTTGCTATGTGCTTATTTGTATATCAGTGTAAATGCTTTTGTGTCCAGCTTTCTACTGTACAAAGTAAGCTAGAGAAAGAACAATGCACACTTGTAAATTCACTTTTTCAAAATTTCTGTACAAAATGTAGAGCAATGTTTATATAACCACATATCGTTATACAGAATGTACATTGTGTTAGAGATGTGGAATCAATTAATATACAAGTATCGTTTGTAAATATGAAGATCGTGTACAAAGCATTATATTGTGGAATAGTAACTTCTTATACATGTATTAGAAGAAGAAAAAATCATTTAGACATCTCATTCCTTTTATATCGAGTGTAGATTGCACAAACTGTATAAGTCACCATAATGAGTATCTTTTGTCATTGCATTTTTTAATCTTAAAGAAACACAAACACAGATGTACTCTGTCTTTTAGTACCCATATATTTTTCTTTGTAATTATTACTTTTGAAACCCAAGAAAATCATCGAGGGCAGAAGTGCTTCACCTTTTTGGTCCCACAACCCTATCTGGCACTACACATCTTTAATAGCTAACCCAAAATTGTAGTTTGTAGGGTACATGTACATTGCACATATTACTCCAAACATCCACAAATTATTTGTACTCCGGAGAGATCCCATAGTGTGCATTTTAGTAATCAGCCCCGAAGTGACAGAGGTGCGTTTGTTTTCCCCTTAAAAAATATGTCTACCTGTGTATCATAGGAACCTCATTATAAAGACCACATTTTAACATTTGTTATAACAATATCATTTTTCTAGTCCCATTTAATTAGATCCCATTGTTTTTTTTTTGTTTTTTTGGTAGCCCCAATACATGTACACAGTTGGTTTGAATATAACAAAGTAACTTCCCTTGTTCGAAGGTAATTGCATCACTTTCCCAACAACAAAAGCACATATCAAGAATCTGAGGTTTTACATTTTGGCAAGAATAATCATCATCCGTTTATGTAATGGTGTCTACTACATCCTGGCTTTTTATTCAGGAAAATGATAATGACCTCTGTAACATGAATATAGTTACCACTACCCTTTCCTAGATTGTTTAGAATTACAAAAGGTTTATATACACATACCGGTAGATACTCTGTCCAAATTCCATTATTCTAAGAAAGGTGGGTCAACAAAATAAACTTTCAGTCATCCATAGGTATTTAATCCTTTTATTTCACACAAATATTTGTACATGTATTTACAAAAATAGCTAATGAATGTACACCTTTGGCAATTGCAATTTAATGTAGAACAATTAACCATATATATAAAAATGACTGTAGTAATGTATTTTTTTTTTTGCCATGAGATCTGAAATTGTAATTATTGCTGTAAATATGAAAGGTTATTTTATTAATTTGTATTTCTGCTATGATTGGCTATGACTATTTTAACATGTACTAATTACACTTATATTTCATGTGTCTGGGGCAATTAACTTGACTCGGATTTGTTTTGTACTGTATATGCAAATAAATATACTCTATGCTAAACAAGATCACAAAATGTCTTGACTGTTGTTATAATTTGTATCACAGTATGAATCAATAAGATAACTTATAATCATTATAGGAGAAACAGACTTGAGAAACAATAAGTGCATTAAATACAGACTTTATACATCAAGGCTACATATTATATAGAAATGTCAATTGATACATACAGGCAGTTTCGCTGCTCTTGCCACCATTTTTGCATGCCCAGAATTGGGCTAAAGTTGATGTTGCACTTCATTCGCTCTTCAAATTCTGCAAGAAACCCAATCAGCCTATCAAAGTCCAGTTTTACTGTAGGACTATGAAATATCCCGTTCAGAATATTGATAACAAATCAACTGTCAGTGGAAAAGAAAAAATGCTGCTTTGTATTTGTAAATGCTCATCTTCTGTTAATCAACTGTGTAGCCATGGTGTAAACAACAACAACAAAATGGAAAAATAAGTAAATCAGTGATTTTGAATAATAAATGCTCATTTTAATTATTGTGGACACTTGTTTTTTTTCAACAAGAAAATCAAATTTGCTGAACCTAATTATGAAGAAAGAACTGATGAGTTCATTGTCAATCTTGGTTTAAATATTGCTGAAAAATTACTAAACAATCTTGCATTACATTGATGGTTCAATGGTTCAGCGCTGTAACCATTATCTACCAGGTTGTTAGATGGTTACCCTGATATGAAAGTAACCGGGGCCCTGTTTCATAAAACTTGCTATCACTAACAAGTTGCAATAACGGTTATAAGCTACTCAAGTCGTTGCATTTGATTGGCTGAGAGTAAATTTGTTATAGAAATGTGACAATTGCTACTGATAACAAGTTTTATGAAACCAGGGCCAATAACCTGTTGCAGCTCTAGTCTTCACTCTGATTGGGAAAGCAAACATGTACTTTCTAAGAGTCGTTTCTATAAATAGGTTCACAAGTCTGGTAATACCAAAGCAGTAGTTGTTTCTGTTCATCCACACCCATCGGAAGCTAAACACATCCATCTTTTTTTAAGGCCCATTCACATACAACATTGTAAAATGTGAAGGTTGTTTCTTTATAACATATAAAGTGCAGAGTGTTTCACATTTCTGTATTCATAACACAATGATAAAGTGAGTATGCACATTACCTATGTATGTATATAGCTGATGCGATGAGCCATGCTTAATTAATGCAAAGTTATTGTGAATATGCATACTCCACATAAGATGATGTCCTCAAGTCGATAGCTTGTTTTTAGGTCGACAACTTCCAATTTTAAAGCTTTAATATTTCAAGTTTTCAGACAGCTGTTACTCCTCTTACAGACACTAAAAAAGCATGTTCATGTTATTGATATTGACTTATGAGCTTTCTGTTGATATATAATTCATATATTTCATTTTCACTTCTGAAAGGGTCTTTAAAAAAACAGCCATGGTATCCTGTGTCACGCATGAATAAGCCTTAGGATTGCTTCACATCGCAGTGACCTGCTTCAAGTCTCTCTCGTTGAAGAATTGGTGTTTCTTCTGGCGAGCGTCTGCATTCTTAGGAGCAAAGAATGATAGGAGGGAGGCGGTTCCTTTGGCTGCTTCTTCCTCCTCGTCATCATCTTCCCTATCATGATAAGAAAGGAAAGGAAGCATTTGTTTTGTGACTTGTAATAAATTTGCATAAAATAACACAATCAATTACAAACAGAATTCTGTAGAGAGTTTCAAAGTCCCCATAGCCCCACCAATTAAAGGGAACAGAATCTGAATCAATCAAGAAATACATAGAAAGCATACACACATGTACAGAGACAGATTAAAAGTCCCCTACCGGACAATACAAAAAAACACATATCATACCCACAAGAATGATTCATCATTCAAAGTTTTTAAAGACACATATAAGTGGGCTCTCATGAGGAATTTTACACCTTTTGGGTGTTTACCCAATATCAGGTGTCAGATTTTATGACCAACAAGCTTTACGTAATGCCCTGTCTTTTCCTCATACGGTAAAGTCCTTATCTGACATTTGCATCACCCGAAGACTCTCTGAGAGAGGAGGGGGTATTTCTTGATTGGCCTACAGGATTTGCTGTGTGCCAAACCCATTAATGATTTTTCAACCAAGTCTGGTGTCAGCGAATTATGACTTTCTGCACATGGTAACTGACGACGCACTCCCTTTAAAGTGACTCTGTAGCATTGCCTCAGATTCTGAAACAAAGTCTTGGATTTAGCTCATGCTGCAATCATAATGATAAACCTTTAGGTCAGTCAGGAATCCCATGACTTTTAAATGCCTGTCCAATTATCAAGATATTTATGATTGGAAAATGAGTATGGTAAAACCGGTCACTCAAAGACTTTTACTTTTTTAAGGCAATTCATGATCATTCTGAAGCGCAATTTTCGTATGGCTTCAATATCACACCATATCACAGACACTGATAGGGCCATACATCTCAGATCTAACATTGTTAAATGATGCCCTTATTAAAGCAAGTAACCTATTATCAGACTGGATTTTCTCTTCTAACCGCAGATTCTATCACTAACCATTGTACAGGAAAGGCATGGTCATCCAGGATAAGACTCGACGTGGACCAACTGAATCGTACAAACTGTGAGAATCCAAAAACAGGATCGACGTTTCCAGCTAGCCACTTCTTGGTTGCCGGATCTTTTTAGTTTTAAGAAATGAGAAATAATGAAAATATAGAAAGATCAACACAAATAGCATAGAAAATGACCTAAAGTTATATCAGGGCTAAAAAATAATTAAATCTAAAGAAGCGGGATCAACAAAATTACCTTGTTACACAAGAGCTTGTTATAACAGTGTTCTTAATGGCAATATTCCTCTGTAGTCTGTATATCAATTACAGTTACCTCTCCATAACTGGAAGTTGAATTTTCCCTAATTTGAATCTTTTTTTTACCAAACTATGCAAAACATGTTAGATTTACACTTTCTAAGTAAAAAAAAAAAAAAAAGTCAAACTATTTCCCTTGGTGCGCCACCCACCCCGCTGTGCCTCGGGTTTAGAGCAGGACGTAACGTCCTCTTGAGCCTACAGAAACAGGGATGCCTCTCATAGCAGTCAATATACCTATACAATTATGTGAACACAAACAAATTATTTCAATTGTATTATATGATGCGATGTGTATTTCTGTACAACTTAAAATTGCTCAATTCAGGCAATGGCTGCGATGCATTTGTTTTTGATAAAGACAATTATTGAATTGAATTGAAATCTCACCACTAGGGTATCCGCTGCCGTAGTTCTCTTTGTCAAAATCATTCGTCTCCACAAACTTCCAGCCTGTCGTTGCTCTGTCTCTGGTTACCTAGTAGAATGTGTTACAAAAAGATTCAAATAAAAATACAATTTAATGGGGTGATTTCCTATGGTGATATTTGCATATTGAAATAAAAGGCAAAGAGACGAATTGGAGATTGGATAAATTTACAAGCTGCGTAAAACTGCTAAGATAAAATAACTAGGGAAGTTCAGGTCGATCCCAAGTGTTACGGAATGAGACTTTCAGAAAAATTTATACTTAAAAAAAAATATATCACAATCATAATTTACAAATCAATGATATGATATATTAAGTGCTTTCATATTTGGGTTTCTTATCAACCATTCATTAAATTTATGAAATATTGAATTTTATAAACTTTGTTACGGAATGACATCGATGGTCAATCCCTGAAAAAATGGCAATTATATTAGTTATAGAAATCTAAACAAAGAACATTTTGCTGATTTAGATTGGAAATAATGATAAGGGTACTAGCAAAAATGCTAGTGCATTTAAACCTTCTAGTTAGAAGTATAGTTGAATTGGATTCAAATCGTCTGACTTCACTACAATTCTGAGCTGATTTAGCTTGTCCTCCTTCAAGGAAACTTGAGGTCTCCTTAAATGTTGATGTTATTGATCACATGACTACCGGTAAATCAGATCCTCGATCATTCAGATTTTAAACGTTTGAAAGTTCATATAAAATGCTGTTGTCAATTCTTTCAAAATCGGATCACATTTGGATTGTGTAGTGCACGCTTGGCCTTACAAGATCTTAACAATCTCTGCATTTTGTTTAAAAACAATGCTTCAGCACTTGCATGCACATCAACGCTCAATTTACCTTTGCACATATGCTAGCAGCACTGACGATAGGGAACTTTGAATCAGCCTTTGGACACACTGTGATGTCCAGGTCAGGGAAGAGACCTTTCAGTTTATCCTGGTATTTCTTGGCATCGCCTACCGTGTCCACATACACCTGAAAAAAGATGACACATCAAGGATTTAGAAACAGATACTACAGTTACACCAGGGGGGTGTTTCACAAAGTGTCGAGCATGTCAGAAATCAGTTATTGCTCCATCTGTGGAAAGCTTTGGGTGCCACCTTTCTCAACTCAAGCTAGGGACATGTGGAGTTGTGCCCTGCTGACTACAACGTACATTATTCAATATTTTTTTTGTTGATTTTGTTGATTTTGTTGATTTTGTTGATTTTTTTTTTTTTTTTTTTTTTTTTTGGGGGGGGGGGGGGGGGGTTACATAGTAAGTCTCCCTCTATCTCACTTTTATGTTAAACCCATTGCAAAGAGGACCCAAGTGGTCCCTTCAGTAGGCTTATGGGAAGTAGACAATTCAGTAGTCTTCGGGTGAATATAGTAGAATCATAGAAGCCAGCATCCTTTCTTACCTCTTTCACCTGAACACCATCAGCCAGTGCTAACCTTAGCAGACCTATCGCAGAGTCCATGGACACAGCATTTAAACTGTGTTTGTTCCTGTATGGAAGTCATTACAAGTTGTAAATCTTTCAGTATCAAGTTAAATACAATTCAGAATAAAGAATAGCACATATATACATGGAAGGTATCATAGACTCAGCAAAAAAATAAAGTGGACACTCTTTATTAGTGTTCAGAAATTTCATATAAACCATAAAACCATCAATAAGATATAACTATAGTAAAGAAATATCAATACTCTACCAGCACCAATTAAGATATAGTTTTGAACTTTCACACTTGGATATAGGCACATTTGTTTAATCGTAATAAGGTTTGATAGAGAAAAGTGTAAAAATAGAGCAAGCAGTGATTCAAATGTTAATGAACATGTGCATCCATAAGACATTCTTGTTAAAAAATGAAAACAAGAGTGATTCTCTCGTCTGGGAGCAAGATAAATAGCTTAGTCACCCCTTATCAAACTAGGACATAGTATACAGGGGCCAGGGGAGTGTTTCACAAAGACTAAGATTAAGTTTAATTTGGACTTAACTATGGCAGACCGTTCATGCCACTGTTTGCTCTCACCATTATGATCTTTAGATAATATTTTTTCCGTCAATAATGAATTATTAAAAAATGTAAATTCTGAAGATTTGTGCCCATGATTTGTTTTGTCCCTTGAGAGACCAATGCCAGTAAATAGTGAGAGCAAACAGTGGCATGAGCAGCCTGCCATAGTTAAGTCCAACTTAAAGTTGATCTTTGTGTGAAACACTCCCCAGGTCTCAACTCACCTTCTAAGCATAGAGTTTGCAATGTAGTTAGGGGACAGGATCTCAACTTTATAACCCATATAGTCACTGGCATCTTGGATACTCTTCATCAATGCTTCTCTCTGCCCTTCATTCAGTGTCTTGGAATCTGAGGATTAGAAGTGAAAAAATACATGAAAATGGTCGGTGGTCTTGCATTAGAAAGCTGGAAAGGATAACCTTGAAGTTTCTAAAGACAAGTATGAAGATAGGTGATAAAGTTTTTTTTTAAATCTAAAGAAGACAGAAAGGCTACCATCAATAGAGATGAGGAAACAGGAAAGATTTTATATATCACTTTGACCATATTTTGACCTTAAAGTCTGTTCCACATTTCAATGTATGATAATGTTTATATGATGGCCATGTCGAGGAAAGAATTGCATTTGGTATACGGTTTTAGTTCAAAATCTTATAAATTAGGAATATAAACTTCTACAGGTCCAAAAACTGTGTTTTTTACAGTCAATTATGAACTCTACTTCTCACGATGCAGAATCTTGTGACACAGGTTACCATCTTATGCAAAATTGCAAATCAAATCTGCTATGTGTGTATTTGTAGTTGATGAATTCCAATGTTGGCATTATGAATCTTCTCATGAACCAAATCTGTGCTGCACTGACCCTTTAATTGAAAGATGAAATGTGAATAGCTGAAAACTTTACTATAATCGGGGCAGACATGTGCGAAGCCATATAAGAAGCCACTATTATTATTATTATACCCTCTAATGAAAACTGAGAAGAACATGGAATGCACTGTTGCCTTGTTTCTTAGCATATTAATTTCAATTGAATAATAAAACCAACTGGCTACATGCATGAATTACGTAACAACAAAAAATAATATGACTTAGTAATTTTACCTGCAAAGCCAAGTTCTCCAAGTTGTGTATTCCATGAAATTGGACAGAAGCTTGTTCCATACACCATAGGACCTGTGATACAAAGATTTAGAAATAAATGTCCTCTTGGCCTTGTACTAGTAGATGTAGCTCAAACATTTTACAGATAAAGTCGAGTTCTGGTCATGCAATCGCAATGTGAAAGAAACGTTGTGAAATCGATCAGGAAAGGTTGATCATCTAGCATATTTAAGTATTGGTGTGTACTGCAAGGTTTTGGAATCATCAAAAAGATTAAAAAAATTGACCCTGTCTTGGTAAAGTTACAAGCACTGTACACAGAAAGATGTATATGCCTATGGGACTACACAAACAAAAGGCATAAAAATCTGTATCGATTTTTATGTTACAGGCCATAGGTCTATTTAGAATATTAAAAATAAAGATTAGTTATGGTCATGTGATTGCATTGTGAAAGAAACATTGTGAAAGAAACATTGTGGAATCGATCAGAAAAGGTTGATCATCTAGCATACAAGTATTGGTGTGTACTGCAAGGTTCTTATCATCAAAATGATAAGAAATTTGGCCCAGTCTTGATAAAGTTACAAGCACTGTACACAGAAAGATGTAAATGGGACTACCCCCACTTGTGCGCGACAGGTGCGTTATATCTATCAGGTCGAAATAGATATAATAATTTACAAAATATATTAATTAGTAGGCGGTTTCTCGGCAAAATTTGTATGATCACATATTAGTCAAAACATATTCTTTCACATGATTGGTAATACGAGCTTCCATTTCATTTTCGAGAGGGGGCATTTCCAAAACTGGTCTTATACCTTTAAGGCATTTGAAGAGCCATGCTTTTCAGGGAATTTTTTTTATCTGATGTTCTTCCACACTTGCACAATGATAACACTCACAAATTATTTTTCACCTCTTCCCAGAACTCAACCCCCAACCAATTCTAAAAACAAAACAAAAATCCAAGTTAATTGACACACACAGTGCGCAATCTTCAAGGCCTCAAAGCAGCACTTTTCTTGGAAGAAGAAGTTATTGATATGCATTTATTTACTCTGACTCTGACATTTTTTAGATCTAAATTAAATGACATTCAACATAAAATTCATCTAAAAAAAGGATAGGCCTAGGGCTAGGCAGTCTAGATCTATGATCTAGATCTAATTAGGCACAGACCTCCTCATTTAATAAATATCAAAATGAGTACATGTGTACTTTATAAACAAATGCTCTAGATCTACAGAATTCAGCCCTCCCCCTTGTCAATTTGTCATATTATCGAGTTCTGAATTCTATGCCAGTCTATGGGACCTTAAACCTAACGTTCAAGTGCCTTGGCATAATTAGGCCGGGCTGGACCGGGCAGCCCTCCGGGGCAGCGAGTCGTGGCACCGCTGATTGACTTACCTAGCACGGGTCCTCTTCCAGCTTCATCGATTCCAAAGCAACAAGGTTCGTCTTTGCAAATCTGAGGTATTTTAGATTGAATAATTGCATTATTACTGTTGTTCTTATCAAACTCTGTCAGATCTATAACGGCAGCTGCATCTTGACTTTCTTCCATAGCTTCAGAAGCATCGCTTTCAACTTCTTTTTCGTCCATACTTGCTCTCTACTTCTTTGAACTTTGCCGCCGCGCGCGCTTAATAAATGCTTCCGGTTTGTAAAGGTGAATGAACTTTCCTGAGAAGCAATCCGGACAACAATGCTCCGATGACTTCGTCAAAGATATGAAAATGAAATGGATAAATTATAAGCTTATATGAGCCATAGAATACAGTAATATGTGTTTTAGGCTAGGGTTAGGGCAAGGGTACTTTCAGTGTTGGAAAAAGTGCCAATACACAATGGCAATTAATATATTACTTACTTCAAACTTGTTGAGCCCGAGGAGAAGGAAGGGGGGGGGGGGGGAGGCGACGGATGCTATGCGATGCATGCTTCGTAAGCCATTTCTCTTTCTAACGTGGAAATTAATCATGATGACTTTGATTATTTTTAAATCAAGTGTTAGTAGATATAGACAACCGCGGATCCAGGATAGTATTAGTAGTGAGCACTATTTTGTTGTGCCCCCAATCGATATTTCGCTCAGTGGAGGGGGCCCCCGGGGGGGGGGGGGGTGTAGTGAGCGCCTTTTTCTTTTTTTTTACTTAACATCCCCCCCCCCCTTTTGAGCAAAAAAAGAGAGGTAAATTTCTGGTCAACAATTTTTTTTTTTTGTGCCGGGGGGGGGGGGGGGGCAAGGCCCGCTCGCCCCCCCTAAATTCGCCCGTGGTTATATAATTTGGGAAAGTTCTATTCTTTTTTTTCTTAAATGTGATCCTATGCAGGGGTGGCAATCCTGGGGTGGGGGCAGGTGGGGGATTTTGTCAGGGGTACTCATCCTCTCCCCTGAAATCTGCGTGAGAAATGTTCCCATTTAAAGTTGGTAATGACTGTGACAGGCATCACACTGTTTTGACGTGTTACAAGTTGCACATAATATTATTCAGATTGAATTTTTGATTGTTTGATTTTATTGCTGCATTTATCAACATAATAAAACATAAACAAACTAGGTTGGCCTACGTACATTTGTATCATAAACACAGGTTAAAACGAATACATAATCATATCATAATATAAAACAGATACATTTTTATAGCTTTAAAAAAGCTTTGACGTTTGACGTTTTATTAGACAAAAAATCGTTGTACCTTTCCCGACTCTTAATCGATTTTAGTCCCCCTCCCGCGCGAAGAGCGGAAGCTTTGACGTTTCATTAAATTATTAGAGAAAGAAGACGATTGGTTGTACCGTTCTTGACTCTTTATCCTTAATTTGAACTCAGTCTCCCCCTTTCCGCGCGAAGCGCGGAAGCTTTGACGTTTCATTACATTATAAGAGAAAGAAGACGATTCGTTATAATGTTCTCGACTCCTTTTCCCTTTTTCTTCCTACGTCCTCTTACTTTTTTTCTTCTCCTTCTTTTCTTTTCTTTTTGGCCGGCCTCAGGAAAGGTTTGGTCGCCCATATTATGGGCGGCCAAACCTACACATGTATATAATCAGAAATTAATCAATTATTATAACAGCCACATAATAATGGATTTTTTTCTTCTTCTTTCAGGCATATCATGAACTACGTTAAGTGTAAATGTGTATATTATGTTATGTAAGTGTATATCTTTTGTGAAACGTTTTAGTTATGTTTTTATTTATGCAATTAGTGTGTGTGCGAGTGCTTGTGTTTGGAGCGCTTATTAAAGCATTACTTGTAAGCTGATAATAATTTACACTTCATGACAGTCTTGAAAAAAAGAGACGTAGTACTAGTGGTTGAGAGACTATTCCAATTTATTGAATGGCGTCTTCATTCCCTCGCATAATTGTTCAATTTGAATTAGTGTTTACTAAGCGAAGCTTAGTTACTTTGTTCAATATCATTATTTACAGATCTTGTTTGTTTCTTTTTCCGTTTTTTTATAATCATGTGCAATCGTGCATGGTAGCGATTAATTCGACATATCTTTGTGAATCAAACAAACATGAAGAAAAGAAACTGAATAAAGAAACTTTGGGTTTTATGAGGAATTTTGTCCGACCGTATCAGTTTACCTAAATATCCAGGAGTGGTATGGAAATGTTATTTGTTATTTTCATTCAAGGGATAGGTATCTTTAGGGAGGTGAGCTTTATTTTCTTGAAAAATATATATTTGTTTTAAAGTTAATAAATCTTATCAATATTTTCATGCCTTATATATTAGAGTAGGCCTACAGCCTATAACAATTATGTATTATCTATTATAAAATTTGCGAAGATTATGATTATGATTTCAAAGAATTTCTGTTTCATTGTGTTTTCGGTAGAAATTGAGGTTCTGTTTTACAAGTTGATTTGCCGACAGAATTAGTTTGGATAGTTGCCCACGTGCACTAGGTTACATACTCTACCGTGGTTTGTATATCTATATATCTTCCACATATCCATGGGATATTTTGGTATGACTGTGAAAAGTAAGTTACAAAACATAAGGGCGCCATCTTGAGAAAGTATAAGTTCAGTAACAATAATGTGCCTGTGAATTAAGACTAGTTTCAGTTTTAGTCTAACGTTTCCAGACAAAAATGTTTGAATAGTAAACTAAAATGACATTAAACTTTTGTTTGATACAAAAAGCTAAGTTTGTTCATTTTTTCCAAATAGTATTTTAAAATAATGTTTATATCGACAACAAAGTTATACAAATGCCCCAACAAAATTGTTACACCTTTAACTTTAGTACATTGGTTTTTAATGTGAGTCTGCAAAAATAGACTATATTGCTTCTGCCAAGTAGTTTTTATCTTAGTATGTCAATTTTTTTCCTTCTTGTTGTTGTAATTTTTGATAGCTTGTCATGCAAGCAGGCCATCAAACTTACTAGCTTCCACTCCGATTTTAATTCTCTCTTTAATTAGAAAAGAAACCAAACAATAAAACTAAATTAAGTTTGTAGTTCATGTATAGACGAGTTACGTTGTGAAACACACAGGTATGAATGCTTTATACCTCGGAGAATGCGACATAGATAAGAAAGGGACTGAACCTGAAAAACGAGACACTGCCATGCAGGAACAAACAAGCTAACAAACATATACGCGGCTGGATCTTACTATTCTCTTACTAAAGATATTTACAACTAAAACATTTACCCAAAATAAATGAATAATGAATTATATAAGACACAATTTGGTTTTAAGTTTGAGAACAGCAGGCCTATATAGTCCTTAGGTTTCAAAAATTGCCCACAACTTGGACGAGCGTTTAAATTGGTTGTCTTGTTTTATTTCTTCTTCAAAATTAACAATTATTAAACATGCAAATATATTTTCTCTCTTTTTTGCAAGTTGCCGATAGCCCTATCAAAATTGGCTGGCTGAAAAAAGCAAGTGGTGGGGTGTTGTTTTCAAGAGCGCAACCTTTTTTTTCTCGAGCTTAATTTAGAGTGCAAGCTGAGAGAGAAAGAGAGAAAAATGAATCTTCGACTATCCCTTTAAAATTTGTTAATAGTCTTATACTCCAGTTGTTTTTGTATTGAAACCATGCCACGAACGGCCTCTCATCAACATGGAGTAAGCAGAAGCGGTGTGTATTATTTGTACTTACGACTCGAAAACAACTAAGCAATTATGTCGGCTTCGGGTAGAGACCTTCGGTAAAACAGTGATGTTCATTTTAGAAAAACAAGCATGATTACCGAGCTCCAGAGCTGTTTTCTTAGGCGAGAGGAATACTTGTACATCGATATTGATATTGTCCATTGGTAAGTTTTATTCTGGTCTCCATTTTGCTCAATTTGATATCGAAAATGCACAAATAGTGAGTCCGTACAAATGGGCTTGCACGTAAAACACTGGGGCTATGCGCTCTGTATTCAATTTGTACACGGCTTCCGTAGGGTACCGCTCTGCAGCCAAGATCGCGTTGCTTTAGCATGTAGATGCTGGCTCGCCTACCCGAAACTGTGGCTTGGAACTTGTACGTTCGCTAAGATCCCACTGCACGCGACTGTACTCAGACTTAGCCAGATTTAGAAGACAATCATACAAAGAACAGCTACAGCTAGCCTTAGTTATGAAGGATTACTAATTTAGAAAAGAAAATCAAGACACACCTAAAGTTAGACATTATTTATTTTCTGCATGGCTAAAAAATCAAGACAATCACAAATGCCAATTTAACGCTGTTGGCGTTGCCTTGTATTAGTTTTTCAGTTTTAGTCTGAGCATATTTTTTCATCATTTGCTGTGCAGGTTCACTCTAGATCTACTTATGTCATGTCTGTAGCTAGGACAGGTCACTACAAATACAATTGCAGAAGCTATATATCGAAACTGAGTCTGTTATGAATAAGTTTGACAGTTACACATGCTCTCTGTAAATGTGTGGCCGCCTGTGACCTTAATTCTCGGACTTGGCACCCTATTCCTACTCCTGAGTCCTAGATCTAAACTGTTACTGTTTAGTAGCAACAGTTTAGCTAAACATTTTTGTTTAGATACAATCAATGAAATGGTGTCTTGTCTTTCTTTTTATGCCCACAATCAAACTCAAAAAAGTTTATTATTATTGGGGTTGATTGATTATTTTTGTTGCCACATTCATTTGTACGATGGGGTGTCCAAAGTTTATGTCCATTAAATAAAAAATATGAAGTGATATTTGATCTGGGATTTCTCATATTGTATATCAATTTATTTAGATTAAATACTAAATAAACATCACAATTCTAGACCATAAATGATGTAACTAGAAAATTCATCGTCAAGAGGATTCTGGTGATATTGCGGATCTTGGATCAAAATGCACTACAACTGGAGTAAAATTTATAAAAGCAAAAAGTCCTTATAATGCGCATGAGGGTTTACAGCTTGATTTTCCAAAAGAGCGATCCATCAAAGGTAAGATAATTACATGAATTGGAAGGTAAAATTTCACACAATGAGTTGGTATCACTTTTTACTTGCAATTTTCATGACATCTTGAAGTGGGAGATTTCCAGACCCTTGTCGCGTCAGTAAGTTGAAACAATTGCAAAATGTTGCAAAAGTTGCAGACCTTTTCTTAATATTTTCATAGTTTTTTACCTAAATTCAAAGAAAATGTTGTAATTTATAGTTAATTCA